TCAAAAAAGAAGCGATTAAAGCCGCAAAACAGCCAAAGAAGAAGGCCAAAATATAATCATAATAATTATATATTTCTGACTTGTATACACATACATACATCTATATGGGCTACACAAAAATTCGCTGCAATTAAGTTGGCAAGTTCTCTCATTGAAATATTTAAAATCAACATATTTACATTATAATGTTAATCATTTAATGGCCAATTAGTGTGTCTCCCACAAAGTGTGACTTTTTCAACGGCCAACCGAAACAGTGGATACCCTTTTTTGGCCACGATTCATTACAATTCAATGGCAATTAAATTTTAATTGCTAAACTCACAAAAAAGATCGACCGAGCGACGGCTCCATTGTTATTGTTTGTTATTTTCCTTGTTTTCTTTGCTGTTCACTCTGTCTGGCTAAAGGCCATGGCCAAAAGTAAGCAACAATAGCTGAATTAAAAATAGCAAAAAAAATGGCAAACATTTTGTTGTTTTACCTGTCCTTCGCCAGATATTCAATATGCTTGTTTACCACTTAAAAATATATAATATGAACATCAAACATACATTAGCTACAATGTAAGGAAACATAAGTTGTATAAAAATAGTATATATGTTTTCAATATCAAATTCGTATTAAAATCATTAAAAAAGGTAATTTTATTACTGATGACAATGTGCAATAAGTACATATATTGAAGTATAAAAATAGTATATGTATATATTTTAAAATATCAAATTCATATTAAAAACATTAAAAAAAAGTAATTTTATTACTGATGACAATGTGCAATAAGTACATATATTGGAGTAAATTTTGGAAAGCCCTACAATCTGAGTGAAACTTTATCCAGCATCTTAAAATTTTTTGAAGCTTATTCCGCGGATTCCACCTGCAGATTGGCAACAGCTGGAAGCCCAGGAAGTTGGAGAGTACTTTTCACCCTCCATATTGTCGAACTTGCCGAGGTCGATGTTGTTGCTTCTGGTTGCCATCGGTTGCCGCATGTTGCTGGCACTTCTCACGTGGTTTCTGCAATTTGAGTGCACTTTGGTTTATTGTTTATCGATTTGCTTGCGGGCAATTAAAGCCGCCTTCCTCCGCCCTTCTCCGCCCTTCTCCGCCCTTCTCCGCCCTCTACATTTCATTCCGCCAGTGTGATTCAAGATTTCAGGGCAGACCCATTAAACGGAGAACTTTTCCCCCATCTCCGCCGACGGCTCCTCTTGAAATGTGTGAAGTGCCACACGAGCAGCGTAACAGGAAGCCCGGTAAAAACTGGGAAACTCGACGAGGGGATGTCCAATATAAGCAAAAATAAACTTGGACATAATCAATTCATTTTCCAAGATTTCTGCTAGTGTTACATATTCTTCTTAGAATTTAAAAGACAGCGGATTTATCTCCAAAATGATTGTTTTCCAATTATTAAATTTGTTTTAAATAAAATTATTAATAACATCAAAAGTAGCATTATATGCTATCCGAATTTTACTGTAATACCTCACAAATTTCATACTCTCGAAATTATTAAACAACTGTACAAAGAAGCACTTTGTATCGCTAAAATAGTGGATAGATAGGTTGATAATCTAAATAAAAGATTCAGCTTGTTGAACAAGTAGAATTTGTTAGGTAAATGCACTAGGCAACCACACATTTGAGATAATTAACGCGGTGATAAGGGTTTATTGACCTAATTGAGCACCTAATAAAAGTTTACACCCTTACCACTCGTTGCAAAAGCATCTAAAAGTTAACAACTGAACAACAGCACTTTGTTGAAATACTTGATGCATAGCTCAAACCGACCAACACAAATATGCAAACGCACAAACCCCTTTTTATTTGCAAATAAACTAGACACGTTACAGTGTCAATGTCAGTTATTTTCACAAAAAGGGCTTAAATATTAAAAATGATTTGCAAAGTGAGTGATGCGCCCACAAGAAAATTATTTATAGACTGATTTTAAACCATTATTTTACACCATTGCAACAACTAAACCATATGAGAAATTCGATTTGTGGTTGTTAATCACAACTGCTTGAACTTTCTGTCCGGTCGAGTATACCCTCATCCTACCGTTTAGCTTGGGCCCCACCTGTCGTCTTTTGGCCGCAAGACCTATTATTGACTAATTAAGGTTAATAATATTGCACAAACAATCGACACACCGGAGAGCAACGAGCTCGAAGAACAACAAATGGCGGACATCAGACATCGGACATTGGACATCGGACACTGGACTACGAACTACGGACAACGGACAACAGTCTACGGACAAGAGTCTGCGGACGGACAAAAACGTACGGACAATAACGGACAATAACGGACACCTGCGATGGCTTCGTCAACAGCTTGCCACTCGATTACGACCATTTGCATGTGTCAAGGGGGCGTTGTTCGATGTCCGCCCTTTAAATCTGCCCCTTCCTCGCTTTCCCCCACTTTCTCCGTGCAGTCATGAACTCAATCGGAATCGCAATTGCCCGGACTTGAGGGGGCGCTCGACTGACACGGCTTGTCAAGACTTATGAGAGGAATTCCGACCAGGGCGGGGTGGCAAGAAGGGGGCGGGGTCGCGGAAATGAGTGACACAAACGAAAGGCGCACACATGGGCACCCCCATACATACACCAACACCCACACACCCACACACACACACACAGACAGGGACACGCACAGGGTCACACACACACTCTCGCGCGCACAAATGAGATTAAAAGTCAGAAACTTGGAGCTCGGAAAACGCACAGTAGTTGCTCCAACTCGCAAAAAAACGCCCCCGCACTAACCCTTTGCCCTAAATGTTTAACAACCCCATACACTTCTCGAAAAAATCTCCACCGAAATCGAATTATTTAGAGAATTAGCAGGAAAATACCTATATAAGAAATCCATATATACCACATAAGAAGATAATACGTACATATACTATCACTATCTATTGCTTTCACTATCTATCAACCTATTGCTATCACTAGATTTATAACATCACAATCATTTCTATCTATAAAGTTCAACATATTAACTCAAACCCCATTCATGAAATAGAAGAACTAAAAAAAATTAAATAACTTTAAGAAGAAACCATATAAACTGGTGAATCTTGCAATATATAATTTAAATAAAATGAATAATATTATCAATATTGTGGTACATAACGTAAAGATATTAATATTTATTTTTGAGTGCCCAGTTAGATCCATATTTAGTTGTTACTTTAATTTAATCATTTCTTTGTTTATAGACCGTTATGAGTTCGATTTTTATTTTAAATAGTTGGATATTGCTTTTGTTTAGCTTAAAATTGTTTCTAAAAAGGTGATGATCTATAATTCTAAACACAATTATTTGAATTTGAATTCATTGAATATTGCAAAAGCTACTTGCCTTCCTGATTTTTTTAAAAGCGTGGTAATAAAAAAAAAGAAACCTAACGAAATGGTTTCTATCGTGTGGTTAGTCTGTTGATTACATTTAGGTAAACTAGGTTTGTTTTTCTAAGTGCAGGAGGGGCTGAGGGGGCGGAAGGTTCAACGACATGTAGCGACATCGAGGCTGACAACGCGGCGCCTAATTGGATCTGGCCCGAGCCGAGCGCTCCACTTTTTGCCCGGGCACGCTCGAGGGTATATGGGATAAGGGAGGCGGGGGTTGGATGATAGGGGATGGTGGGGGGTTGGGGGCTGGGGGCTGGGGGCTGGGGGGATGCGACCTCGGATCGAGGGCGTCTTTAGCCATCTAACGCCCCCTCCAAAGCTAAAGCCCACAGCCAGAGCCCACCGCTTTTCGACGCAATCAACAGCCGAAAACGCAAGGGCAGCGAAATGAAATTAAAGCCGAGGTCACGCGGGGGTGGCTCTCGGGGGGTAGGGTGTTTGGGGGGAGGGAGTGCAGCCTAAAAAGCAATAAAAGTGACAAGAAAAGTTGAAGCGCTGAGTGGGCGACGAATAAGGATAAGGACTGGCAGTGGAGAAAGTGGATTTGGCGGCGAAAGTGGGGTAGTCGAATTCGTGTTGTCGTTGCTGTCAGCAACCAGCAAATTTTTAGCAAAACTTTGAGACTCCTCTACCCAACCAGCCAAAAAAAAACCAGAAAACAAAAAAAAAATGAAGGGAGTGGGAAGGTTTGCTTGTCTGAATCGCAGTCATAAAAGCGATTCCCCGGCGGAAACATTTTGTGGCACGTGAATGCACTCATGAATATGTATCGAACGATTCGTTTAGAGCGTGAATGTGAATGCAGCGAATGAGTGTTCGGGGAATACCGAAAGGACTTTACCGAAATGATGGCTGTCATCAGGGCGCAATTCATAGCTTAGGTCAGTGTCGTAAATTCACGAACGACGACAGGCGGCTTTCGTCACCAGATTGGAAAAATATTCAGGGAAATTCGTCCTGTTTCGGTACGGATATTTATATTTGTAGCAAAAGTAATGGATGTATCAGGGGAACACTTAAGCACCATGTTGATAATTTAGTGTATTAAAAAGTTAGCTCTTTGATATATGATTAGGTGGTTAGTGTATTTTCCGAATCTTCTATATCAGGAGCTTTCGTCGCCAAAAAATTAAATGTAATTTATTCGTGCTATGCTATTTTAAATCTAACGTTTTACTATAAAATATTCCGTGTTTCATTCCGTGCTGAAAATGCAATCAATCAATCCAATTACCATAAATAAAACCTGAAAGCAAATGAGAGGATAGGGTACTATTTTTAAGTAAAACCCAATTAAATGTGGTCTAAATTTATTGCAGATATTTAAAATGACTTAGCCAAACCAAGTTACAGTGTTAGTAGAGACTCTTTTACAACTATGATTTATGTGCTTCTTCTGTTTGTGTTCTTTCATTAACCACACTGACTCAACTATTGATTTTGGGGGTCGTTCTGCTCGGCAGATCACAGCAATTAAGCGAGTTGACCACACCCCCACTTTATCATCCGCCTGCTAAATGTTTAATGTGCCTGAATTAATTATTCCGTCCACTTGTCTCCTTGCAGCCTGGGATATTGGCAACTCGGTGCAGGACGCCTTCGTCATCGCCGTGGAGGAGCACGCCCGCGAGCGTCTGCAAAGATTGGCGGCCTTGAACCGGGTCACGCCCGTCGACATCACCCAGCTGTCCAAGAAGGTGAGTGCCCCCATTCGGGTCTCCTCCGTGGGGCTTTATGTTCGCCAACTGCTCGACTATGCTTTCTCATTGCCCAGGACTTTAATTGGATTTCTAGCGGATGCCTAAAAGGTTTTAAGGATATTTTTCTTAATGTCTTCAAATTGCGAGTTTCACAGAGTTTCTCGTTGGGGTTCTCATACCCGAATTTCCAAGCTATATATAGATTTAACACATTTCTACAAAATGTTCAGTACAGTGTCCTATTTAAACAAGGATTGATTCCTGGTATGGCTTTTCAATCGAAATGTTTTCCATTTTCAACGGAATATCAGACAATAAGTTTGCTTAAATTTCAGTGTTTGTTTTCCGGGAAGCTTTTAGTAGAGTATTTGCCAGTTAACAGTTGACTTATAATTCCGGGTATTTTTTAAGAGTTTTGCTAACAGATTACTGGAAAATGTGATTCATGCTTATTTACCTTAATTGAAAATTAGAAAATACACATGCACCTGCAACCATAAACTTAATTTACTGAAGCACCCATAACTATTAAAATTACCTTTAACAATATTTGAGCAGGTAATGAAAGGTAATGTTTTAGACAAATGAGGTAACTACATATATTGGCAGCTAGTTTGGAAGTCTATACATACATAAAGAAACTTAATTTGTTGGTTTTGCTCGGGAACATGGGTAAAGACAGGTTTTTCTTAGAAATGCCAGTGCTATTTTAAGGTGCACATTGGTTTTATTGACTGGCGGATTTTCTTTTATGTATGTTTGTACATCTAGTGGAAGTGCATATTCGATGGATGGAAAGGCAAAACGGGTGGTGGAATTCCCGGAAAGTACTACACTGTATTTCGTATTGTATTTTTTTTTGATTGTGCGGCATGTGGCACTGAGGCAAATATGAATGCAAGGTGTTTATTTGCAGGCTGTGTGTTTGGTCCGAATCGGACGGCACTCTGAAATTGAAATGGAAAACGTTTTATCAAAACAGCTTTCTATCACACACGGTGCAGACCCCACTGTCGTTGGCATAACTGAATGACTAGTGACCAGTGACTGGTGGCCCCTCCCAAATACCAAATACAAAATACAAAATACAAAATGCAAAAAATGAGGAAGTATGCTCTCACAAAATTCAATTAAAAATTCAACAAACCCAACACGAGCCAGTAGACAGTGGACTGAAACTAAAAGTGGAAACAAAAATAGACACAACTAAGTAAAAAGTGAATAAAACAAAGAAAAGCTCAAAGCAAACGTTGTATAAACTTGAAAACAAAAGCAAAATAAAATTGCCATCAAAAGTTACGCAAAACAGAAAAAAGCCGAAAGAAAAATAAATAAAAACAAGAAAGGAAAGCTAACTTCGGGCGGAGCCGAAGTTGATATACCCTTGCAGAATACTCTGTAAATTATATTCTCCAAAATTATTCATATGATGCATTCTTAATACTCATAAAAAATCCCAACTTTCTAACTTTAAAAACACCAAAGTTATGGCATTTCCGATCAATCAGTTATATGGCAGCTATAGAATATAGTCGGCCGATCCTTATGAAATTTGGTAGGTCGGATTGATTGGCCAAATATAAAACCCATAGGAAATCCCAGCTTCCTAACTTTGCAAACACAAAAGTTATGGCATTTCCGATCAATCAGTTATATGGCAGCTATAGGATATAGTCGGCCGATCCTTATGAAATTTGGTAGGTCGGATTGATTGGCCAAATATAAAACCCATAGTAAATCCCAGCTTCCTAACTTTACAAACACCAAAGTAATGGCATTTCCGATTAATCAGTTATATGGCAGCTATAGGATATAGTCGGCCGATCCCGGCCGTTCCGACTTATATACTGCGTGCAAAGGAAAGAAGGGTGTGTGCAAAGTTTGAATTCGATAGCTTTAAAACTGAGAGACTAGTTTGCGTAGAAACAGACAGACGGACAGACGGACAGACGGACAGACGGACATGGCTATATCAACTCAGGAGGTGATCCTGATCAAGAATATATATACTTTATATGGTCGGAGATGTCTCCTTCACTGCGTTGCACACTTTTGACCAAAATTATAATACCCTCTGCAAGGGTATAATAAAAACAAGAAAGGAAAGCTAACTTCGGGCGGAGCCGAAGTTGATATACCCTTGCAGAATACTCTGTAAATTATATTCTCCAAAATTATTCATATGATGCATTCTTAATACTCATAAAAAATCCCAACTTCCTAACTTTAAAAACACCAAAGTTATGACATTTCCAATCGTTCAGTTATATGTCAGCTATAGGATATAGTCGGCCGATCCTTATGAACTTTGGTAGGTCGGATTGTTTGGCCAAAAATAAAACCCATAAAAAATCCCAACTTCCTAACTTTACAAACACCAAAGTTATGGCATTTCCGATCAATCAGTTATATGGCAGCTATAGGATATAGTCGGCCGATCCTTATGAAATGGCATGTCGGATTGATTAGCCAAATATAAAACCCATAGAAAATCCCAACTTCCTAACTTTACAAACACCAAAGTTATGGCATTTCCGATCGTTCAGTTATATGGCAGCTATAGGATATAGTCGGCCGATCCCGGCCGTTCCGACTTATATACTGCGTGCAAAGGAAAGAAGGGTGTGTGCAAAGTTTCAATTCGATATCTTTAAAACTGAGAGACTAGTTCGCGTAGAAACAGACAGACGGACAGACAGACGAACAGACGGACAGACGGACAGACGGACATGGCTATATCAACTCAGGAGGTGATCCTGATCAAGAATATATATACTTTATAGGGTCGGAGATGTCTCCTTCACTGCGTTGCACACTTTTGACCAAAATTATAATACCCTCTGCAAGGGTATAAAAATGGATCGACGACAGACTCAAATAATATTTAATAAATCTATTTCTCAAAAGTTGGCATTACCATTAAGGAAAAGTTCGAGGGGGTTAAATTTTATTGATTGATTTTATTTATGATGATAACTATGATAGCCATATTCTATGACATATTCTATGACTAAGTACAAATTTTCTTATATGTACCAGTGCTCAATAACAATTCTAAATTAGGTTTAAAGTTAAATCTGAAAAACACACCAAAGATCCTTATGAAATTTGGTATGTCGGATAGATTGACCAAATAAAAAACCAATACAAAATCCCAATTTCCTAACTTTAAAAACACCAATGTTATGGCATTTCCGATCGTTCAGTTATATGGCAGCTATAGAATATAGTCGACCGATCCTTTTCAAATTTGGTAGGTCAGATTGATTGGCCAACTATAGAACCCATAAAAAATCCCAACTTCCTAACTTTAAAAACACCAATGTTATGGCATTTCCGATCGTTCAGTTATATGGCAGCTATAGAATATAGTCGATCGATCCTTTTAAAATTTGGTAGGTCAGATTGATTGGCCAACTATAGAACACATAAAAAATCCCAACTTCCTAACCTTAAAAACACCAAAGTTATGGCATTTCCGATCGTTCAGTTATATCGCAGCTATAGGATATAGTCGACCGATCCATATGAAATTGGGAACGTCGGATTGATTGGCCAAAAATACAATCCATAGAAAATCCCAACTTCCTAACTTTACAAACACCAAAGTTATGGCATTTCCGATCAATCAGTTATATGGCAGCTATAAGATATAGTCGGCCGATCCTTATGAAATTCGGCATGTCGGATTGATTAGCCAAATATAAAACCCATAGAAAATCCCAACATTCTAACTTTACAAACACCAAAGTTATGGCATTTCCGATCAATCAGTTATATGGCAGCTATAGGATATAGTCGGCCGATCCTTATGAAATTCGGCATGTCGGATTGATTAGCCAAATTCAAAACCCATAGAAAATCCCAACTTCCTAACTTTACAAACACCAAAGTTATGGCATTTCCGATCGTTCAGTTATATGGCAGCTATAGGATATAGTCGGCCGATCCCGGCCGTTCCGACTTATATACTGCGTGCAAAGGAAAGAAGGGTGTGTGCAAAGTTTCAATTCGATATCTTGAAAACTGAGAGACTAGTTCGCGTAGAAACAGACAGACGGACAGACAGACGGACAGACAGACGGACAGACGGACAGACGGACAGACGGACAGACGGACATGGCTATATCAACTCAGGAGGTGATCCTGATCAAGAATATATATACTTTATAGGGTCGGAAATGTCTCCTTCACTGCGTTGCACACTTTTGACCAAAATTATAATACCCTCTGCAAGGGTATAACAAGAAAGGAAAGCAAACTTCGGGCGGAGCCGAAGTTGATATACCCTTGCAGAATATTCTGTAAATTATATTCTCCAAAATTATTCGTGCCAATAACAATTCTAAATTAGGTTTAAAGTTAAATCTGAAAAACACACCAAAGATCCTTATGAAATTTGGTATGTCGGATAGATTGACCAAATAAAAAACCAATACAAAATCCCAATTTCCTAACTTTAAAAACACCAATGTTATGGCATTTCCGATCGTTCAGTTATATGGCAGCTATAGAATATAGTCGACCGATCCTTTTCAAATTTGGTAGGTCAGATTGATTGGCCAACTATAGAACCCATAAAAAATCCCAACTTCCTAACTTTAAAAACACCAATGTTATGGCATTTCCGATCGTTCAGTTATATGGCAGCTATAGAATATAGTCGACCGATCCTTTTCAAATTTGGTAGGTCAGATTGATTGGCCAACTATAGAACCCATAAAAAATCCCAACTTCCTAACCTTAAAAACACCAAAGTTATGGCATTTCCGATCGTTCAGTTATATCGCAGCTATAGGATATAGTCGACCGATCCATATGAAATTGGGAACGTCGGATTGATTGGCCAAAAATACAATCCATAGAAAATCCCAACTTCCTAACTTTACAAACACCAAAGTTATGGCATTTCCGATCAATCAGTTATATGGCAGCTATAAGATATAGTCGGCCGATCCTTATGAAATTCGGCATGTCGGATTGATTAGCCAAATATAAAACCCATAGAAAATCCCAACATTCTAACTTTACAAACACCAAAGTTATGGCATTTCCGATCAATCAGTTATATGGCAGCTATAGGATATAGTCGGCCGATCCTTATGAAATTCGGCATGTCGGATTGATTAGCCAAATTCAAAACCCATAGAAAATCCCAACTTCCTAACTTTACAAACACCAAAGTTATGGCATTTCCGATCGTTCAGTTATATGGCAGCTATAGGATATAGTCGGCCGATCCCGGCCGTTCCGACTTATATACTGCGTGCAAAGGAAAGAAGGGTGTGTGCAAAGTTTCAATTCGATATCTTTAAAACTGAGAGACTAGTTCGCGTAGAAACAGACAGACGGACAGACAGACGGACAGACAGACGGACAGACGGACAGACGGACAGACGGACATGGCTATATCAACTCAGGAGGTGATCCTGATCAAGAATATATATACTTTATAGGGTCGGAGATGTCTCCTTCACTGCGTTGCACACTTTTGACCAAAATTATAATACCCTCTGCAAGGGTATAACAAGAAAGGAAAGCTAACTTCGGGCGGAGCCGAAGTTGATATACCCTTGCAGAATATTCTGTAAATTATATTCTCCAAAATTATTCATATGATGCATTCTTAATAGTCATAAAAAATCCCAACTTCCTAATTTTAAAAACACTATAGTTATGAAATTTCCTATCGTTCAGTTATATGGCAGCTGTAGGATATAGTCGGCCGATCCTTATGAAATTTGGTAGGTCGGATTGATTGGCCAAAAATTAAACCAATAGAGAATCCCAACTCCCTAGTTTAACAAACACCAAAGTTATGGCATTTCCGATCAATCAGTTATATGGCAGCTATAGGATATAGTCGGCCGATCCTTATGAAATTTGGTATGTCGGATTGTTTGGCCATATATAAAACCCATAGTAAATCCCAACTTCCTAACTTTACAAACACCAAAGTAATGGCATTTCCGATCAATCAGTTATATGGCAGCTATAGGATATAGTCGGCCGATCCCGGCCGTTCCGACTTATATGCTGCGTGCAAAGGAAAGAAGGGTGTGTGCAAAGTTTCAATTCGATATCTTTAAAACTGAGAGACTAGTTCGCGTAGAAACAGACAGACGGACAGACAGACGGACAGACGGACGGACGGACAGACGGACAGACGGACAGACGGACAGACGGACATGCTTATATCAACTCAGGAGGTGATCCTGATCAAGAATATATATACTTTATAGGGTCGGAGATATCTCCTTCACTGCGTTGCACACTTTTGACCAAAATTATAATACCCTCTGCAAGGGTATAATAAAAACAGCAGCTGGGGGGAGAAAGAGAAAGAGTAAATGCAAATCAAATATGTGGGTAATTGAAAGTGAACGCTGCAATCCAATTTGCATGTGCGAGCACAAGAGTGAGTATATTCAGTTGGGACTAATAAAGCGATTCGCGCTTCAAAGTTGCACAACAGCGATCCCTGAGATTAGCTACACAAAAAAAATATGTGTGCATAATATCTAGAAGATATATGGGGTATTGAATATGAAATATATATGTACATATCTACGATATCTGTCTATATATGTGGGGTATTATTTTATGTCCATTGAAACATTAAATGTAATTTATAGGGATTTAAAAAAAAAATCGATATCAATATTAAATAATTATTTTTCTCATTATAATTAAATAACCGGAGAGAATTTTCTTCTAATTTGATTTGACTTTTAACATAGAAATTTCATAGATAATGAAGATAAAAGTACACCTATGTGTTGAAACCACCAATAGTCCAAGACACAGTTTCCATTTCAATAAATTAATACTGTGCTCTTTATTTTTTCCCGTGTAGGTTTGCTTGTGACATTTTTTTTATCTGTTGGCCAGCAAAAAATGTCGGTGAATAAATACATTAGCTATTCACTGAGCGTACTCACAGTTTTGTTGCGTTTACAGTTTAAGCACAAAAGATCGTGCCGAATGAAATGACTTACGACGAATTTAAATGTAAATTACATCGATTACATATTGGATTTTCATTGATTTGTGAATTCCTAGCTTTAAATCATTGTTACTGCTTATCTTTAATAACGGAAATTCAAGGCAATACATTTATTTGCAATCCTATTGTAATCTTAATGAATCATGTTTCATTCTTGAAAGAACACACCTAGTGTTTAGTACAAAGAATAAACAAGTACCATTATTTAATTTGAAAATTCAAATCGTTACAGTACAACAAGGGCGTTCACTTTTGAAGGGTTCCAAAGAGATTCAATTCAATCTTTGAATCTTTTTGTGCCCTATGATTTGGTCACTCGTTTGGTTAGCAAATGGAAAATGGTTAAATGCGGAGTTTGAGAGTCACTGGGAGGTATGGATGGTATTCCACGCATAAACCGCACCAATCGCAATCCCCGATCCCCCTATCCCCCTATCCAGATCCCCCCCCCATACCTCTAGCACTTTTTAAGCGCATCAAGTGCTTTTGTCATCATCGTCATCACAGTTGAACGCTCCAACAATTGCTTTCAGTTCTCCGGACGTCGACTGGTCTGGGGGTCAGGTGCGGTTCGTTTCAGCTCGGATCCGGGGATCTGCGTTGGGTTGGGCTGGCTTGGATTGGGTTGGGTTGGGTTACTCCATCGGGAGTGGGCACCTGGATTGGTAGTGAATCGCGCGGCGGGGGGAGGGTCTTTTTTGTCTAGGATGCGCTAGAGTGCCGCTGCGGGGCCTTATCGAGAGCAGTGAGTCAATCGTTTGTTGCCAAGCCAACCGAACAAATGATTTTGCATACACAAACAAACGTGAATATGCATATCGGTATACAGAGCACCTGAAAAAATTAAGAATTAATTGCTTGGGAATTCAATAAAGAATTTGTTGACAATTGAATTCCATGGATTGAGAAGGGAACTATAACAAATACTAAATTTGGCCAGATCCTTCTTGTTGCATTCTTACTTTTGATAAGCTTGATTTGGATGAGAATAGATAGACTCATTTATTTCTACTGCATAATTCTACTTTCTGAATTCGGGTAAAACTTGACTTGTATGCAATTAATTTTAGAGATCACAAAAGGTTTCTAGTCTAAAGAATTAATCATACTTTATTTAAACTATCTAAACATAACTAGAAACCTTGATATTATACTAAGCTATATTGGATTAGTCTGTTTTTAAACTTGGATCTTTAAGTGTTTGATTTTGTTTTTTGCTTGGCTTAGAATAATATGAGGATTATTTTTTTCCGTGCATATATGCATCGATTTATCCGATAAGTGTTGAAGTGCGTAGGAGTGACGGTTGGGTGGGATTGGGATTTGGTTGGTGCACGGTATATGGTATATGGAAACTGGGAACTGGGAGCTGAAGCTGCGAGTGAAGCCACGGCACTTCACTCCGCCATCGAGAATCCACAAGCCGATGCGGTAGACTGACAAACCGACTTGGCTGTCAATAATCCGATAAAATGCGAACAAAAAATACGCTCACGGCGGATAGGTGATTCTGGGTGGTTACTGGAGAAAAAAAAAACCATACCATAATACATACCATCGAGAGTGAAGTGAAAATGTGCCACAAGCGTTAAGTACGTATGGAGATCCCCCTGCTCGGCGTGTGTTTTTTCTTCACTTTTTTGTAGTCCCCCAACTTAGACATCTCATCCTCAGGTAATTGCATCAAAAGAGACCCATAATTCAACTTGTTCATTTATTTTCACTTTTTTTATACTGACACTTAGCTATTGGCATTAGGGCGTGAGTTAACCTGCAAAAGAAGGTTAAGGCCAATTGGATTGGATAGAATGGATGGGGTATAAAGGCGTCTTAATTGGCTGATTTTGAGGGGGCGACGACAGTTTGACAAGCACTGGAATGGGGTTCTGGATGTGGATTGCAGATTGTGGGTGCAGCTCTGTGGGTTTGGGCCACCCACATACAAAAATACCTGGCCCCAGACGCAGACACACCCACACACACACACGCCTGCCGCTCAGCCACATCCATTATGTGTTCGTCGCATTAATAATTCATATTTCATTAGGGGAACAGCATCAATATACCCATGACTTCGGGGGGGCGTGGCAGGGGGCAGGCGAAGGGAGAGTGGGGGCGTTACTTGGAATTTGATTGATTTGCATATATGCGAAACGAAGCCTGTCAGCGGCGTTAAATGACAGTTTTAAGTTTTTATTTATTTTTCGGGTATGCCGTCACTATCAAAAGTGCAAAAAGTGGGGTCAGTTGATAGTTTGCCAATCTGTTTGGGCAATCAATACAATCGTTATTGTAATCGTTTTTACTTGGCTGGTTTTGCTTAAATTGATGCGGAGGAAAATATTGTTTAAAAGAGGAATGGAAATTCAATCCAGCATTTTAACGATGATGAAATGGCAAGTGCCATTCTTTTGACAGCCTTGCGCTTATTTTCAAAACAAAATGGTTTTTATTTTTATAGAATAGCAATGTAATAAAAATGAGTTAAAAGCAATCAAATAAATTAAGAATTATTCTATTTCAAAAGCTTGTTTTGCCATTTAAACATAACAACATGTATATAAATTATATTTATATCATGATAACATATTTTTGATGCAGATCGAAAATAACTCAAAAATATATATGTTTCGAAAATATTTTGGGATTTAGTTTGTGCTCTTTTTAGTTTATATCTGTGAGTTTCGATAAGCACCGACTTAATGCCTTCCTTCCTTTTCAACATCTTTGCTTTGCCTTGTTGCTTGTTGGATGGATGTAGCTGCAGCAAACGAAGAGCGGTACTGCAACAAGTCAGCGGCAGGACCTCAGCTTCCTGAACGAGTCGACGCCGATCTATGTGACGTCCTTCACCAGCAACCAGATCACCTGCAGCAGCTCCACCATGACGACGGCCACCGCCGGAGGACCGATAAGTGCACCATCGCTGGCCCCGACGACGGCCACCACCACCGTGCCCACGGCATCGTCGCACACCACCACGGTGGTGGCCCAGATCGAGCATGGGGCAGCATCGGCGCTGGTTAGTGCCGCAGTGGCCGCGGCCACCGCCGCCGATCGCAATGCCAATAACACCACCTCGGCGGCCCTGAAACAGACTGTGAATTGCATTGGCAATAGCGCCGCCAGCACGGCCAGCACCACCGGTAGCTCCACCAGCAGTGCCACGGGTCACATTTACCAGACCAGCCAGGCGCAGCAGCAGCAGTTGCAACAGCTGCAGCAGCAACTTGCGGCAGCAGCGGCGGCAGGGAAGCCCCTTCAGGCCAAGTCCCTGCTGGCCAGCAGCTTGCAACATCTCGCCGAGGAGGTGGACAACGAGGATCTGGACGACGATGACGATGTGGATGGGGCCAACTACTGTGGCATCACCTACATCAGCTACAACAACAAGCATGCCCAGTTGCCCACGACGACGTTGCCGGCCACCACCGCTTTGCCAGCGGCAGCTGCCACTTTGGCCACCACCGCAGCGATCCACCACCAGAGGCAGCAGCAGCACCACCATCATCAGAATTATCCAGGAGGAGGAGGAGCAGTTGCAGTTGCATCTTCTGGCAATCAACTCAATCGAGCCACTGCACCGGCACCACTGCAACTTGGAGGTCCTGTGAATCCCAGTTTTGTGGATGCCCAGACATCCACTTCACCGCTGATGGCCAGTTGCGAGATTAGGATGCAGCAAGATCCGCCAACGGAGCGGCATGTCCATGGCACCACCACTCCGAAAACGGAGTACTCCACGGCCATTTCCAGTGGCCAATTGCAGCAGGCCTTTGCCGAATTGCAGCTGCACTCCAGCAACAATAATGCAACACAGCAACAGCAACATTTACTTTTAAGCAACAACAATAATAGCAATAATTCAATGGCAGCGGCACAAACAACGGCATCTCTAATGAAGAATTGTGATCTACTGATATCGAACAATCTGTATCCACCGAGAAGAGAGGTGATTTTGCCCGGTTCAGTTTTTCTTTCTTTGGAAATTTGTTCTCTTGTTAACATTTGGTCTGATTGATTGCATTTATTTTGATTACGTTTTGTAGAGTTTATTGGTAGGGTTTGTCAAAGAACTTATTTGATCCCAATTTATTTAATTTCGATATTAATTAAAGTGAGTTTCTTCAGATTTTGTCTCCCTTTGGTTTCTCCTTTCGTTTCAATTCATTTAAAGGAAAATTCAAAATTGTTTCCTAAAATTGTCCATTTTGTTTGTATTTTATCTTACATTTATTTTATTTGTCAAAGAAATTATTTGATTTATGTTTCTTTGAATGTTGTGCATATTCGAAGTTTATTGAGAATGCAAGTAATTTATAGATTAAGTTAACCTAATTTCTATAATATTTATATTTATTATCTTTAAGTGATGTTTTTAAGGAAATTTAAAATATTATTTTCGGTTTTCAAGGTGTTTTATAGAATGTATCGATTGACCTTAAAATATTTGTATTGTGAATACCGTTTATGAAAAGTTAATTTGTCTGTTATTTTTCCATTTGCTTTCTCTGTTTGTATTTATCTCTACCTAATTTACATATTCCTTCTTCCACAGTTACTAGAAGACGTCATCGTCCATCAAGCCAGTGATGTCTATTCATACGGCACGAGTGCAACAGCAGCAATCGCCAGTAGCAGCAACAGATCACAACAGCAACATCAGTTGCTGAGTGCCGCCTACGAGTTGCAGCAGCAACAACAGCAACAGCAACAGCAACAGCAATTGCAACTGCAACAGCACCAACAGAACAGTCCCACAAGTAGCATATCAATAGGAAGAACTGAACTTTTACTGGGCGATCAGAGTCTGCGACAGGATCCCAAAGGGTAAGTTCCGAACTTATTTGCCTATTATAGAAAACACAATATGTTGTAATGCAACTAGTTTTAAGGACAACAGCTCTGATGGATATCCTGAAAGCAACTAGCAATGTTAGAAACGTTATTATTGCTTCACATATTAATATTAAATCTTTGGACCATCAGTCATTTATACATTTTATTTAGATCTGACTGTTTTTGAGTCATTGCCTGCTGCTAACTGATCTCTGAGTAAACATATATAGCCTACCCTGCAGGCGATTTCCGGGAACAATGCTTCTCAAACTGCAAATTTTTCGTGTTTTGTCTGCTGATTTATTTGACCAACACTGAGAGCGTGTTTGTGTTCCTGTGTTTGCATTTTATGAAGCATTTATTATCGCTCCTCGCCGCTCTTTTTTTCACAGCAATGGCCCTCCGGCTTGAATGGAATTTTTCGCGTTGCGGAAATACCCAACATGTGGCTCACACACACCCAAATGCACTGACACACTGAGCTAGCTCAGTTTTTATGACTGCTTATTTATTTACTCGCTCTGCTTGCTGGGTTTTCCACCTGGCTGGATCGCAACAGCTCCGCCCTGCATTTACATTCGCATCCGCATCCGCGCCAGCATCCGCATCCGCATCCTTATTCGCACTCCGCCTTTGGCCATCGCTGACATTTTTCACACATATTTCCCAGTGCTGGCACTCTGCCCCTCTCGTTTTGATACTACACAACTGCACTCGTTCGTCCTTGCCAAACGAACCTGTTGTGATTTCGTCCTCAGGCACAAACTATCTACCAACAGTAACGGGCAAATTAATAGAACTCATCATTGCTTGTGTACAAAATTAGAGAAATGCCCCTAATTGGAATTATCTTAGTTACATATAATTCCAAAAGCTTAATCCATTTTTCCCAGCAGCATAAATTAGCGCAATAATTTCGCTTGGTCTAAAGAATCTTTAAATCAAAAACCTGGTGGAATTTTTAAAAAAATATCTTAGCTCACTTTTAAACATTGATATATGAGAACACCTTGATTTGTATTGTATTCAAACAACAAAGTGTTGTCTTTAGGCATTTTAGTTTAAAAAAACAAATAAATTAAAATTCGATTTAATTTTTACTCATTTTCCCAAATCGGTATGCTCTATTTTTGGCCCACACTGTGGGCTTGCCTATAAGTGAAGCCAGAATCCTTTTATCCCCGCCCAAAACATCCACCCCCACCACCCCTTTTAAGCACGTGCGCTTTCATTTTATGCTCATTATTAATTAACGAGTTATTTTCCTCGCCCGGCGACGAATATTTATACATTTTTAATCGATTTTTCCGTTCTTGACTGCCGCCAGAGCGTTCGCTATTTGGCGGCGATTGCACAGTTTGGTGGCCATTGATATGGTATATATATGTATATATATATATAGCAATTAGGCCGATGGGGTCGCCGTTTTGCGGTTCAGTTTGTGGTCAGTGTCAATCCACGATGACCCATCCAGCTGTCTCGCTCTGTGGCCTCGGTGTCCTCTTTGGGCGCCCATCGTCCACAATTGAAAACCTGCTGACTAATCAGTTGCAGACAGTGACAGCCCACAAACATTGCCGATGACCATGATGATGATGTCCAGTGGCGTGCCACAGAAAAGGGTTTACCATTAAACCATTAAACAATATGCGAAAAATAGGATATATTGTTGACCACTTTTCAAATGTAAGGACCATAACCCTTAAATTGTATGGTAATTAAGACCTTTTCTTTACTTAAGTACCATCGGTATTAAAAAGTAAATCACGATTAAGAATATTTCCAATATATCATGACGTTTACACGACTAACAAATTTAGTATAATAAAAGCCTCCCCTTTTGAGGCGCCCCTGTTGACGACACTTGATACGGCGATGCATTGTACTCGATGTGCATTATCTACGAGTAGTAGTTGTGTGCTGTGCATTTGTGCTGCCTGCCAAACTGTCACACTGATGTATGTACTCCCCTCCGGAACCCCTCAAATCTGATCCGTACCCCCCTTGATATATCCACTCATCTCGACATCGACAGGGACATCGGTTGACAACAATCAATGCTCGATGACATTTCTCTTTCTCGGCTTTTTGTTTGGTTGAATGGGAAAGTCAAGTAGAGGTGGGATTTTCTGAAAATGATTTAGATTCGCTTTCTGTTTTCGTGCCGTGTTTAAATGACCGTTTGCTTTCCAGATTTCAAAACATTTTAGTGCCTATTTCGAAATAATGAATATACATATATGGTTTCACACTCAAATTATGCATTGCCTATATTTATAAATTTTAAGTTTCGTATTCTTTGGCATAAATCATAACCATTTGACGTTATAATGAAAAACTTTTAATTTCAAACAAATCGATGAAATATTTTAAACAATTTGTAGACAAATTTTAAAAAATATAAACTAGCTCATAAGATCAATGAAAGTCTTAGAAAATTATAAGAGAATCCCATATAAAATCTAACTAAACTCTGAAGTAAATATGAAAGTAGATCAAGGGTTATTAGAAAGAATTTAGTATATTATGATATTGAGGAATTCCCCCAATGATTAACTGGCAGTGCTGCTAAAACTGTAAGAAATTGACCAGACAGCTAGAGAATTCCGCCCGATTCTTCTTTGGCATGCGAGCCATGTTTTGGATGTGCGGTTTCTCATTTGGACTTGGAGACCTCAGACTTCAGACTTGGGATCGCGGCAAACGGGCTCTGGGCTTAAAAATTCTGGGCACGCGCATGCGCAGCATTTTTTATGCTGTCCGCTTGTTGTTCTTTTCGAGTTTTGCTCTGCCTTTTCTGTAGCTTCGTTGAGGTAGGACTTAACTTTGGGAATTAGAGAAAAAGGGGGATTTGTTTTGGTGAGGGAAAGCGAAAAGGAGGGGAGCTACCAAGCTGGTCACTTTCCCATGGGAGCTGAGGAAAATCAATTAAAGGTGCCGCCATTAACTAATCTCTCGCTCTGTCTCTTTCTCTCCCTGTCTATGGCCATCTCCCTTGCTCAGCTGGCTAGCCAAAAATGTAATTAAATCATTAATTTCCTGTCGTTTTGAGGCAGCCTTGGCAATAACAAAAATGATGGTCTACATGTTGGTGTTACACCAACAGCAAAAAAGGTCTTCGGAATACAGTCGAGTTTTCGTATATCACAATTTTCCGGCCTAGTAAAGTGCAAGTTCTTCGTAAAAACATAAAACAATATATTAGTTAAGTACAGATTTTTGTAATATACCCTAATTGTCACCTTTTTTGTAATTCTTTGAATTTTGTAATATAAAAGTTTTATTATATATTATTTTTTTGATATGTTAAATCATTAAAACTACTTTTGACAATTCGAATTTATTTATCACAACAATAGAGTAATAATAGTTTCCTACTCAACCAAAAGTCCTTGAGCTTGGAGTTTACATATGTACCGAGGCTCAACTGTAGTGTATGAGCGAGAGGGAAAAAAGATAAGAAGTAGAGCCAAGAAGCCCGAAGGACTTGCCTGTTATTTGCACAGCAACAAACTAAAAAAGTAAAGCGCATAAAAAAGTTGGAAGAATATTCTACAAAATAAAATCATATTTGTGTTGCCATGTGTGGCACACAAGCAAACACACAAGCTTGTAACTTGAGATAAATCCGTTATAATAACTCTGGGCATCTGGGCTGGATATATACATATATACATATATGCGATATCCATAAAAATGTGGATGCACACACACTCGCATTCAAGCTCAAGTGTGTTGATTGTATCTTTGTATCTTTGGAGGATGCTTATCTCTGTATCTTTGGAGCTTCTCTTCTCTCTTTTTCTCACTCTCTCTCTTTCGCAGGTAAGCCTAGCAATCAACGTTTTGTTTGCCTCTTGTTTTTGTTTTGCTTTTGTTCGCCGAGTGTACGTTGTTGGGAGTGTGTATGTATGATTGTGAATCTCTTCTCTATATTTACCTGTTACCTGTTGGCCCTTCTCTCTCCTTCCCAATCGCTCTTCATCCTCCTCCTTCTCTTCGTTCGTCATTAGCCTGTGCCTTTTCGTGGGATCTCCAGGCAGCGAATGAGCAACGAAAACAAACGAAACTTGAGCCAAATGTGGAGACTATTTGAAAAATTCATCGGAAAAAGTTTGAAGATTTTGTAAAACGAAGTGTATACATTTGAACTCAAATATTTGGGTTTAATTATACAATTTTACTTTAGTTATAGTTGTTAACACCACTTACAATTTTTAAGTTTAAAATTCTTCTAAATGTATGCTGGAAGAAATAAAACCTTGTTGTCTTATTTGCAATCATTCAAGAGTACTTGTATAATTTCATAACGTTTTTTAAAGATGTGATACATACAACCGATCTGATTATCTGAGTTCAATTAAGATGACAATCTGCAATCGACTGTCTTGTCTTTTCCACTGTGTAGTCTTAATTGGACGAGTTGCTTTTAATTGCTGACCCAGTAGCAAGTGCCTCTTGAACGGAAATAAAATAAATATCGTTTAACGGCAAACGGAAATTAAACGGACTGTGTCTGTGGTCAGAACAGAAATCGACTAGACTGCAATTAAAAAATTGTAATATGCAGTGGCTTTTATTACACATTATAAAAATGTTTTTTTATAACAACACCAGTCAAACCTTAGTAACTATATAAATCTAAGAACAGAATCAGTTGGAGGGTTGAATTTTCAGAGTTCGATGTTGTTATTATTTATATTCTGAGCTCTGCAAGTGGATGGTAAATAGTCGACAGTTTTCTACCTGTATACTCCCCCGAATTGCGTTTGTTCCCTCTTCCGCTCCGGCTCTCTTTGCACAGCTCTCTATTGGAGATCCCTGATTCATTCTCGGGAGTGATACATTCTCACCTGAGGTCCCAGCTTCGATTTTGATTTCCATCTCAATCTTGGGGCAAGGCTTTCGATTCTCCCGAAAAAACGAGAGAATCGGCATACATATACATACTTCGCCGTTGAGTCACGTACCCATACACACACAAACACACC